CTTGAACACTGCTAAAAACAAAAAAATCTTTTATTTAAGTTTTATCATTTTTGCCAGGCTAGTGAAGGCTTTTTACTGTTTTCAGTTCGATATTTTCTTCGTATGTTTACAGCCTTCCGCTATTCTCGTTATATTTGTAATCATTTGTAAGCAAATTCACAAGTACACATTTGACATTATACTTGCTAAAGCTATATATTATGACGCAATACAAGTACAAACGTAACATCGTTTATCCGTAACGTTGAGTTTCCAAGTATAAAAAACGAAAGTAGCGTCCAAATGATCTCTATAATACGTACGAATATTCGCTACTCTTTATATTATTCATACAAGCATTGTACAAGTATAAATATAAAGTAAAACCAAATGCATGTGTTTGTTTTACTCTCTTTATACCATATTAGATACCACGCATTAGAATGTTTCATTAGATGCTCGATACAATAATATAGTCGGTTATTTTTGTTTTATTTTGCGTTTCGAGTAGTTTTTTTAGTCATTTTACATTTTGTTGTCACTATTTACATATATTAAACATTATTCTATATACATATGTATTACATGTATACATAAGCAGTTATTAGCATTTGATAAGTGCCTCATGTCATTCAACATAATATGGTAAAATATCTTCATCATCTCTAAGAAAGATCGTAATCCATTCTTGCATAATATTGATTATGCTTTATCATGAGATAATTTTTGTTTTACATAGAATTTAATTTTCTATTTAATCACGTATGGTTCAAAAAATGAATCTCGGAAGGATTATGATTATTTATATGATACGATTCTGTCGTGGAAAATTTTGGAAAACCTTGGACGTAATTTCTTGCGAAAATCTCTTTGAAATACTTGATTATAAAAAATGATTCTTTAATCGAATATTTCTTTTTTTACACGGAGAATCTCTCAAATACTTATGTCTCGTTTATATATCTTTCGCTAATATTTCACTATTGAAATTTAAACTTTAAACTAGGCAAAATTCCGATTCCTTTTCGGAGTGTTACCACATTTTTATCCGATTGATGTTTCTTCGTACATTAATAACCGTAAAAATAAAAGATTATTAAATCTAATAACAGACTCACGGCACAAAATTAAGAGACAGAGACACTTGTGAATTATGAAATTCTTCCTTTACACAAGTAAACGATTATTTGAACTTGAAAAAAACTTGAAAAAAAATTTGCTAGAGTGAACTGTGTTGAGAGAACATTTGTCGTGTATTACATACAATCAATTATATTTGTATAAGTAAAAAAAAACCTATGAAACTATTCGATAATGAATCCAATGTTCTTTTAACATAATTTCTGAAATTGTATCCGATGTGTTTTTTTTTTTACAAATGTCGCACATAGCTGAAAGAAAATGTAGGTATTATTTAATAAATTTTGACGAACTGTACAATGCGTTTGCATGCTTTGGAACGGATGTCGGCGGCAACATCTCTCCTGGCCGGAAGCGGAAGCGGACGAGGTATCGATCGCGCGGAGCGGCGACTCACCTGACTCACGCTCACTCTCTCGTGTACGAACAATCCCCCCGGAAAAAGTTGGAGCAGAGCGTTCCTAATTGCAGTTTTTCGAATGACTGCCGCGCACGGGTTACTCGGGTTACGGGTGTTCTCTTCCTCGCAGAACCTCGCTTCGTTCAGCTTTCACCTCGGGCTGAGTGTGGCGCGAGTGACTCGCTCTCCAGAGAGACAATCGGCAAGTCGGGCGTACTGAGAACTGACTACCATCTAGCTCACACCAGCATCTTATTATTGAATCGCACTGTCTCTGTGGTCTGACATCAGACCATGTGGCAACGACCAATCGGAGCACGGTTTCAGCGAGCGCATGCGCGTCCACCACCCGGTGTGCCGCATCCGCGCGCGCGACTGACGACCACGACCACGACCAAGACGACGATGACGATCACGAGATCGCACGACGACCTGGACCGGACGACCAGCGAAAAAAGCAAAAAGGCGCGCGCGGCGCGTCCCTTCTAATTTTCTGTCACGAGCAAGAAAAAGCACGTCGTGATCGCGACGTCACCCACCGACGTCACCCAGCCCTTCACCCGCCGCCGGTTTTTACTTGACGCGAGGATCGTCAGATTTCGCGAGGCACGCGTCTGTCACATGCCGTACCGTCACCGCGCCGCGCCGTCGTCAATCTCCACTCTTCTTTCGTTTCGTACGATCGTACGAGTTACGACGCCAACGACGACGGAGTTATCGGAGAACGATAGCGTTACCGGCGTGTTGACCGTTTCGCAGATACACGTGAAAGAATCGATACTTGCCACTAATAATATTTTTGATGATGCGCAATATCTATATGATTTTATATATGTTCAACTATTTTAAAAAGCGCGCACGCGTAATATGCATGGTAAAAAAATCGATAATAAAAGTATTCATCTTCGTCCAGTTGTCTTTATAAAAAGAGTAAATCGCGTTCGGAGGCGTTTCATACTTAAGATTATTCTATATAAATAGATGTTTTAAGATGCTAATACCATTCTGTATTGTCTTATAAAATGGTACATGTAAGAGATGTATGATCAGAAATAAAAAAAAATCTATATGAATACCGGTCTACATGTGGCTTTTGATAAATTCGAATAAATATATATTTTCAGTTCTTTTTTACAATTATTTTTTGCTCGTTTTATGATCTTGACGTATCGTCGTTTATTTAAGCACACGTAAGCCTTATTATTTATTTATGTTTATCGAAGCTACATTTTAATGAAAATGTACGAGCTGTGTCAAAAGTTAAATTGTAAGAGTGCAAATAAACAAGCGAGTGATGTGCTATAATCTAAAGAGAAGTTTACTTTATTTTTATATATATTTTTATATAGTTCAAACTTAATCAAAATTTTGTAATTAATCAATTGCGGACGTAAACGTCGAAATAAAAACAATTCCGAATTATAAAAATTATAGAAATTCATTAAGGTCTTGACTGTACAACGTTAGCTAAAAGTATCCATCAAAACAGCTAAAAAAAGCTAAAATTAGTAAAACATTGATATAAATGCGCCTGAAAATATAAAAAAAAAATTATTTGGTTTTTGATGGTTTATATAATGTATTGCCATATTTTGTCACAGTTTTAGGTATAAACAATTTTTAATGATAAATGGATTTAAATAAACTTTTATACGCATGAATATTTATTAAAATTTCATTAGTATGTATAGAAAATGGACGTAATTTCTAATGAATATTTCCGCATCAATTTTGCAAATAAGTGCTATGAAAAACAATTCTTCGAAAGAAGAAATTTTTATATTTTTTGTAATGCTTTTATGTTAACTACTCGTGTGTTTTTGTCTTGTATGTTTAATAAAACATTGCATCACCTGATGGAGTATAAGAGAAACGTTTCTGTCGATTTCGTCAGCTGATCGTTGTCAAATTCGTGAATTAACGCTGATATAAAAGCGGATAGTTGGGCTAAGTAAGTTTTCATTTAACTGAGTTTTCAACTCGTAAGTTAACGTTCGCGAGAAGTATACGGTGTAACACAATCATAGTTTTCAAAGTCCGAAATCTTTACTTCACAGTCTTGTCGCTTTACCCACGAATAATTGATTTTGTATGTAAGAACTTTTGGGTGGATGAAATTAAATTAAATACGAAAATTTCTAGTATTTCTCTTATATCTCAATTATTGAAAAGATTTAAATCTATGATATAAATTTAAAAAAAAAAAAGATTTTGGCAAATTTTCTAGCAAATATTTTTCTTCTTAATTAACACCAGCAAATTTTTATGCATGAATATGTATAAATATGTATAAACATATGTATAAATATTTGCAAACATGTATAATCATGTATGAAATATGTCCATACATGTTCATACATCCCTCTCTTTCTTTTGTAAAATTACTTTTTAATGTAATAGAAATAATAATAACGTGAAAACATAAAAAATAATTAAAAGGGTAATTTTCATAATATTTGTTTTAGAAAAAAATTAAATTTGAATAAATGTAAAAAATTATTTATTTATAATTATGTATAAAATTATGCATAATTATATATGAGTAATTTTTTTTACATTTTTCCAAACTTTTTTCTGAAACGAAATGCGAAAATTATCCCTTTGATTATTTTTAATGTTTTCACATTACTATTATTATTTCTATTACACTAAAAAGCAATTTTATAAAAGAAACAAGGATGTATGAATATGTATAAATATCTTATATATAATAATACATGTTTATGTATTATTTATACATATATTTATACATATTTATACATTCATGCATGAATAATTTTTTATCGGGTTGTAACAAAAATATTCAATAAATTATTAAAAGCATATCGTCATAAAATATACACGCGTTATACGATACAAGGTTAAAAATATATGCTCCTTATCTTTCCGCACATATTGGTAATACATCGATAATATAATTTTTTGGTACTAGTTTTGATGAAAAAAAATTTTACGGTCAGTATCTAACTTTCAAAGAAAATCTGAGAAGAAGGATGCAAGAAATACTCGTGATAATTAATAATTCTGAAGAGCAGTGCATAAAGCACGTATTCACTGTAAAACTTGAGGACATACATTACATTTGACGGCTCTACTTGAGCATTTAATTAAATCTTTTCAAAAACCATTTGTTAGACTTATTATTGAGTCATTTAACTTATTATTTAGATTACAAAATTTTCATGTTTCTTAATTATATATATTAAAAATACATAATAAAATATCAATATATAGAGTGCTCTATAAATGCTGAATGATATTAGATCGGCACAAAAGTTCTTGCGATGCGGATAAATGTCTGTATACAGGCCTTAGTTTGATTTTATAGACAGAAAAGTTTATATTATGTTTTTGTAAGTTGGCATCTTTGCATTAACATTTATGCATGATAAACTAACTGATAACTATAAATTGTAACATAATCTTACATTTATTACGATTAAAAATGGAGCCGGATAAAGAGCATATTCGCCACTGTTTTTTGTTTTGTTTCCATCAAAAGAAAACTGCTGCTGATGCACACAGAATTATTTGTGAGATATATGATGAAAATGTTATAACCATTAGAACGTGCACAAATTGGTTTATACGATTTAAAAGCGATGATTTCAATATCAGCGAAAAACGCTCCGGAAATCCTGTTGTGGAAAAAGATGAATTGCAAAAGATGCTTAATGAAGATTCAGCCTAATCGTGTGAGATTGCATTACAACTAAAAGTTGATCATTCATCAATTGTTCCCTATTATTTAAATGCAATGGGAAAAGTCCAGAAGTATGGAAAGTGGCACATAAATTATCCGAATGCGCAATTGGCAATCGGTACGTCTGCCTTTTATTGCTTGCTAAAGAAAAAAAGAAAAATTTTCTATGGCGTATTGTAATTGGAGGAGAATAATGGATATTTTTCGATTATCCTAAAAGGCAAAAACATCGGGTGGAGCCTGGCTAATCAATATCATCAATGCCACTACGCAATATCCACGGTCGTAAGGTTCTGCTGTGTATCTGGTGGGATCAAGAAGATGTACTCTTCTTTGAGTTGTTGCCGGAGTTGATCGGAGCAAACTATTACGGGACACTGCTACAGCAAGCAACTAAGGCAACTGTACAGAGAATTAATTAAAAAACGACCACAAATAGTTAGCAACCGTCGCAAGATCATCCTGCTGCATGACAGTGCCAGGCCACATGTTGCTAAGGAGACCAAGGAAGCATTGTTGAAGTTGGAATGGGAAGTTCTTCCGCATTCAGCTTACTTTTACTTCACCAGACATTGCCTCTTCAAATTATAATCTATTCAGATCAATACAGCACGGCTTATTTGGTGAGCACTTCTCAAATGTCGAAGATGTATGATCAATGGGTCAATCAAAATACGATTCCTTTTTTCGACGTGATATTTGCATATTGCCAGAAAGATGGGAAAAAAATAGAAAATACTTTGATTAATATATAATGTGTCAATTTTTTTATTGTAATAAAAAAATATTAACAAGAATTTAATATACAAATATCAACAAGAATTTTTCTACCGACTTAAGGGGGTATAACACCTTTGCGGCTTCAAAAAATAAAAAAAATTTTTTATTGGCTTAAATGATACTTTAAGATGTCTAGAATATGATCCCATTAACGCCTAAGCGATCTTGAATTTATTTCACGTCGAAAACAGCTATGCTTGTGTGTTACCTCTAGCGCGGGAAGAGGGCCTCACCGAGCTCGCTGCCTTTCTCTTGTGTTTGTCAAGTATTTCAGGATGAAGTTTTCAAAGCAGTCAAGCCTATCTACGAAGAATTAAGTTCTGACGATTTATTATCCCGCTGTCTTGGCGGGTATATTCAAAATAACAACGAGAGCTTCAACTCTGTGCTGTGGTCTATAGCGCCGAAAGGGGTCCACAGCAGCAAGGCGATCGTTGATATTGCTGCAAATTTTGCTGTTTGCAATTTCAACGATGGCCTAAAAAGTATTGGAAATTATGCAAGTTTTTAACTTAACGATCGGTACCACCTGCTACAACTTTTGCATAAAAACCGATGAACGGCGGATCCGC